TATTTGTCCAAATCGGTTTTATCTTGGTAGGTACTAACCAAAAAATAAAAACCACTACTGAGACAACAGTATTAAGAGTAGTCACTACAAGGAAGAGGGGGTGGGTGGGCGGGGCTATTGCTTGATTATAAAAGCTTCTGTAGGACAAAGTTCAATTTAGCCCCGTAATAAGTAACTAAGAAGGACAAGTTAATTGTTATATATGGCCTTGTTTTAATACCTATTTCCGTTCAAAAGTCTGACTTCCCAAAAAATAAAGAACACTACTGAGATAACAGTATTAAGAGTAGTCACTACAATCAAGACAGGGTGGGTGGGCGGGGCTTCTGCTTGCTTATGAAAGATTCTGTAGGAAAAATTTCAACTTAGCCCCGTAATAAGTAACCAAGAATGACAAATTAATTGTTATCTATGGCCTTGTCATAATACCTACTTTCGTTTAAAAGTCTGACTAACCAAAAAATAAAAAACACTACTGAGACAATAGTATTAAGAGTAGTCACTACAATCAAGAGAGGGTGGGTGGGCGGGGCTTCTGCTTGCTTTTAAAAGATTCTGTAGGAAAAATTTCAACTTAGCCCCGTAATAAGTAACCAAGAATGACAAATTGATTGTTATCTATGGCTTTGTCATAATACCTACTTTCGTTTAAAAGTCTGACTAACCAAAAAATAAAAAACACTACTGAGACAACAGTATTAAGAGTAGTTACTACAATCAAGAGAGGGTGGGTGGGCGGGGATTCTGCTTGCTTTTAAAAAATTCTGTAGGAAAAAGTTCAACTTAGCCCCGTAATAAATAATCAAGAAGGACAAATTAATTGTTATCTATTATGGCCTTGTCATAATACCTACTTTCGTTTAAAAGTCTGACTAAACAAAAAGTAAAAAAACACTACTGAGACAACAGTATTAAGAGTAGTCACTACAATCAAGAGGGGAGAGGGGTGGGTGGGCGGAGCTATTGCTTGCTTATAAAAGGTTCTGTGAGAAAAAGTTTATCGTCTATTTTGGACAAAATAATGTTTTAATTTATTTTTTCTTTGCTCCGTAAACTATCCTTAACAAGATGTCATAGAGTTAGTGCGCATTATTTTGAACCCCCTGTATCCTGTATATTCTTGAATGGTAACCTCACTTTCTTTGATGCATTTAGAAAGCAGTAATTTCACCTTAGAATACTCCCCACTAAAAAAGAAAAAAAATAAAGCCTTTTACATTGTTTTCTACCATATTTAATTTCTAATAACTATGTCAATTCTTCTGGAAGCAAGCAGAAGAACAAAGCAATAAAATTTAATTCAAGCCATTCGAGAACATTATTTCTTCACTTGAATTTCAGCTACGATTTTAAAGTCAGGAAACTGCAACCAAACTTAACATTTGGAAGGAAGAATGTCATTTTAGAAACTCGGGTTATTATTTTCGTAAAAAATATAGCTTATTTTGTGGTCATCTTAATTTTTTTTGAATCCTAGTCCACCACAATACTCCCCGCGAAAGTAAAAATTGGGCTTTCAAATATTCTAATGTTAAATTTCCTCAATTGAAAAAACACTTAAAGAAAAACGTTGATTCTACAATAATTTTTAATTTAATTAGAAAAAATAATTAATTATTTGATATTTTTACTTCTCGAACGTAAGCTAAGAAGGTACAGTAATTGAGTCCATCGGCCGAATTGCCACTTTCATGTTTTCTTGACGTGTCATGACTTCTAGAGTACGAAAAAAGTGGTCTCCCGTTTCCGTCTGTCTTTCTGTATCCATTTTTATTAGACAAATAATCTCTGAAACAGTCTAGACTGATTGTTGCCATATTTTGTATGTATATTAGGAATATCATGTAGATGGTTAAATACTAACTGAAATTTGGGTCATCATACCCACCACCAATGGGATGACGGCATTTCCAAAATTTATAACAAAAAGTAGTTTAAAATTTTATAAAATAAGATACTTCTCAACTTGTGGTGTATGAATTCGTGTCGAATTTTCAACTTCGACATCCAGAATTTTTGGAAAAAATTCAAAACGGAATAACAATATTTTACATTTGAACTTTGAAACTTCGAAACTGATTACTATGAAGTCTTGTAAATATTTTAAGCTTATCGTAATCATGGTAAACGTTAAGCAAAATTTATTTGTTTATCCCCTCCCAAAAAATTAGTGACGCCATTCCAAAATTTTGTCGAATAAATCCTATCCAAAATCTGCAAAATATGATGGGTCTATGCTTGTGATTTATGACTGCATTAAAAGTTTTTAAATTTTTTATACAAGGTGACTCATAAAAAGCAATTAATGAGTCAATTTATTTTATTGATTAAATCTGGAACGGCTCACTATGTTTTTTCGAAAATTTCGGAATACAATACTGTTATCATTAGTACTACATTGTACCTATCCAAAGTGATATACGTGTTCTTGTAAAAATGTTGATGACGTCATCATAAAATTTTGTTAAGGGAAAACTCATTTGGAACGTACGCTCAGCACGTTTCTTTACATTTACTTTAACGTTACATACATATCTTTATTTTTCTCATAGAAAAAATAAAATTCACATAACCAAATTTTATAATTTTTCGAAAAAGCGGGATTTGTATTATTGTATTTTAGAAGCGAGGGAAGTTCTGGCGAAATGACTTTCCACCAATTTTTTTTTAATATGTTGACTTAAAATTTCTTCAACAGAAAAACTTGTTTTATAAGATCATTGCCATATTACAAATTACAATTTTCTCAACAAAAAAAATATTTTTAAAAAAGTTGCTACATAAAGTCATTATTACACTCGTTCTTTGTAAAAACTCGCCGCAAGCGGGTCGTTTTACATACTTGAACTTGTGTGATAGTAATGGGTCATATAAGGGTATATTGTATACCAACGCGGGAAAGTAAGGGTTTTTCGGGCCGAAAGAAAATATGGCAAGGCGAGCCGCAGGCGAGGTGTACACACTATTTTTATCCTTCACCAGAAAATGAAAAGTACTCACAACAAAAAGTCTTATTGACAAAAAATTGCAATACAAATTAGATTAATTATATTAATTAAATGAAATATTAATATTAAATACTGGATTTTTTATAACACAATTGAAATAATTTCTTTAGCTAAGTTTGATATTTCAGTTTTTTTTAAGAGTTTTGCAAGTTTATTTAAAATGTTTACCCGGAAGTTCTTTCACTGCCTGGCTAGAGAAACAAACAAAGTTTTCTTGGCTAGACACTCCATTCTGCCTTTTTCTAATCCTCTTGAAGCAAAAAAAAAATTAATTTGGTGTAGGATAAAAATGATTTTTAATTTAATTAGTAAAATTAATTAATTATTTCATATTTTTTTAAATATTCTGACGTGAAATTTCCTCAACAGAAAAAATAATATGAAAAAAATTCTTTTATAGTATCAGTGTGCAACTCGTTCTTGGTAAAAACTCGCCACAAGCGTACAATACATTCTTAAAAAAAATTGGTCGAACTTCCCTCGCCCCTGGAGCACAATAAACATATCCTGTTTTTTCGATAAAATTTGATTTTGAGATTTCAGTTTTCGGTTTTGCAGTTTCAAAGTTAAATTGATTGGTTTGATTTATTTACAAAAATTTGGATGTCTAAGGTGGAAGAGTATCTTACTTTATAAAATTAAAAAATGTATATTACTGTAAATTTTGGAGATGACGTCATCCTGCTAATGATGGGGATAATTAGCCAAATTTTGGCGGTCGTTTTACCTTATACATGGTATTCCTAATATACATACAAGATTTGACAACAATCGGTTCAGTAGTTTCGAAGATAACTGTCTAATAAAAATCCGGACAGACGACAGACAGACAGACAGAAACGGGAAACCTAATTCTTCTTTCTCTTCTTTTTAGCTTCCGCTCAGAAAGTAAAAATTGATTAATTGTTGTTGGTAGGCACCAAATCAATTAGAGATTATTTTACGATAACTTGTGGACGAATGTTTAAAAATTATGAAAATATTAAGAAAGTACTACATGATACAGTAATTCTGAAATAACGTCATCAAGTTTTCGGAAGGCATAAACTGAAAAATTTTGATTAGCGATTTCCCTCGTCATTTTAACATCTATACTAAATTCTCTAAAAAATATGGTCTATAATTTTAGTTATTAAATAAATGCAGAAAAAAGTTCAATGCTACGCCACTTTACATAAAAAATACATACGTAAACGAATTTAATTGTCTTCTTAAAATCCACACTGTTACATAATCTAAACAATTAAGAATACTTAAAAAAACAGAAGTGGATACATTTCTCATAGAAGCACCTGACAATAATTATGAATTATGATGAAGGTAAAAACAAGTTTTTCTAAAATTATATCTTTATAAACTTACAATTATTTCATTTCTTGCAGGTGCACTTATAACAGTCTGAACGTGAACGTCGTGAAAATTTATTTAAATTCACAATTGATACAATGTTATGATACAAATGTAAATACATTGTAGCTAAAAAATGAAAGAACCTTTTAGTTGCTGATAAAGAAATAAACGATATTCATAACCTAGATCTACAAAGAAAGGTCTTAAGTTCACCGGACATACCATGTTTACATTTTTTTGTGAATGACAATCCAAGTAAATGTTCAGCGTGTTGGAATAAATACGCTTGGGCAAGTTACCTGTTACTTCAATAGCGTAATCATTATACTGACCATTGCTTTCGAAGGACAACCACAACTCACCTAATTGATATTGATTAATTCAATTTTCGTGGTTGAATTAATAAAACAATAATAAATTGTATTCTTTATGTTAATATAAGTGTTAAATCGCATCCGATTGCAACAAATATCCCATGACATTACAACCCCTTTGGGTAAATAATTCAGATTTTTATCAAACTTCTGTCATTAAAACTTTCGCTTTAATCCGTTTTAAACGCAAATCGTGATTTTTTCACCACGAAATTATACAACTTCCTGTATGAAGCGATGTATGTAACTAAGTTATCCCTTGCTGCAGATAAGGACGTTAGAGGCAATTTCCATCAGGAATATGAGGTGGTCTGCTCTGTGGTGGTTCGCCGTAATCGCAGCCATGGTTATGCTGGAAGCAAACGCAGCCCCAAGCCCCAGGAACGACAACATGCTGCAAGAGCTCTTGAAACTAGACCAGTTGTATTCCTCCGTCGCCAGACCGAGGTAACCTCATCGATGATATCTTTATTTCCACACTCTCTGCATGGTAACGCTAATGTCACTTATAGCCTCAGTTTTCTGTGTCAACTGGTAACTTTTTCGCACATAAACGGTCGTCTGGGCGTTGAATTTCATTAAATTAAAAGCTGAGACCTCTTATGTAAAGTGCATCTACGCAAACACCGAACTTAATTCTTTTTTATAATAGTTAAATTAAATTTGCCGGCAAGACGAGGAATATGCCTGTCTTTGAAACTTTAAACCTGCGAGTTTTGCTATTACATCCTGTCGGTTCATTAAGAAGGGAGTTTTCTTTTGTGAAGTTTTGATTTATGTCGCGGTTCGGGGATTATTCGAAAATATATATCGAAAGTGTTGTGGGGTGGATTCAGAGGGCTATAATTTAGTTTTCTGTTTATTGTGGAGTCGTTTAATTACCCAAGGGTGGAGGATAAGATTTAGGGGATCCAATTATTTTTAAATTATCGCGGTTTTACTTTATAGCCGTAACGCAGTCGTCGTAAACTTGATATAAACATATTTCTTGGAAATGCGATACGTTCGATAAATTGACGAAAAAATATATTTTTAAGCTTTACATAAAATATCCATTTTCACACAAATATGATACTGTTTTTAGGCAAAATGAAAATTCGTGTTTTTATTACGTGAAAAGACAGCCAAATTTTGAGCTTCATTTATTATATTTTGTGCACTTTTCTGGAAGCAAGCAAAAGAACAAAGCAATCAAATATAATACAAAATTTCCAGAAAATTATTTTTTCACTTGAATTTTGGCACATTTTCGGAAAATTAGAAAATCGCCACCTAATTTAACATTTCAAAATAATAATTTCAAATTAGAGACTCGGGTTATCATTTTGGTGAAAAATATCACTCCTTATTTGCTCATTTTTATATTTTTCAAGCCTGATCCACCACAACACTCCCCACAAAAAAGTAAAAATGGTTTTCAAGTGCCTTTAATTTGAAGTTCCTTTGTACATTTTTTTTTTGGAAGCAAGCAAAAGAACAAACCAACAAAATATAATTCAGGCTGTTCCAGAAAACTATGTTTCACTTGAATTTCACCCCACGTTTTGTAAAATTAAAAAATAGTAACCAAATTTCAGATTTGGAAGAATTAACTTCAATTTAGAGACTGTGGTTAGTATTTTAGTACAGAATATTGTCCATTATATGGTCATTTTTATATATTTCAAGCCTGATCCACCACAACACTCCCATAAAAAAGTAAAAAGTTCGCTTTACTTAGTTTTCAAGTGTCTTTAATTTGCAATCACTTTGTACTACTTTTCTGGAAGCATGTAAAAGAACAAACCAACCAAATATAATTCGAGCTTTTACAGAAAATTATTTTGTCATTTGAATTTTGGCGCACGTTTTGTGAAACTAGAAAATCAATACCGAATTCAAGATTTCATAGTAGCAATTTCACTAGGGTTGTTATTTTGGCGAAAATTTCATCCATTATTTGCTCATTTTTATAATTTTTAAGCCCAAACCAGAACAAAATTTCCCACAAAAAAGAAAAAAATGTGGTTTACATCGTTTTCAAACGTCTTTAGTTTGCAATTACTTTGTAAATTCTTCTGGAAGCACTGAGAAGGACAAACAAACGAAACCTAGTTCAAGACTTTTAGGAAAATTATTTTTTTACTTGAATCATTGAACGATTTGCAAAATTACAAATGTGTAACATAATTTAATATTTTAAAGGAACAATGTCATTTTAGAAACTCGAGTTATTATTTTGGTAAAAAATATTGTTCATTATTTCGTCATTTCTATATTTTTCAAGCCTGATCCACCACAACACTCCCCTCAAAAAAAGAGAAAAACGTGCTTTAATTCGATTTCAAGTGTCTTTTATTTGAAATTATTTTGTACACGTTTTTGGAAGCAAACAAAAGAAAAAACCAATCAAATATAATTCAAGCTTTAAAAAAAAATGTTTTTTTCACTTGAATTTTAACGCACGTTTTGTAAAATTAGAAAATCACTACTGAATTCAACATTTGAAAGTAGTAATATCACTCGAGTTATTAGTTTGGCGAAAATATCATCCACTATTTGCTGATTTTTATCATTTTTAAGCCCGATCCACCACAACACTCCCAACAAAAAGAAAAAAAAAAGTGATTTACATCATTTTCAAACGTTTTTAGTTTGCATATACTTTGTAAATTCTTCTAGAAGCAATGAAAAGAACAAACAAACAAAATCTAGGAAAATTATTTTTTTACTTGAATCATTGAACGATTTGCAAAATTACAAATCTGTAACATAATTTAATATTTTAACGGAACAATGTCATTTTAGAAAGTCGGGTTATTATTTTGGTAAAAATATTGTTCATTATCTGGTCATTTTTATATTTTTCAAGCCTCATCCACCACAATACTCCCCTCACAAAAGTGGCAAATGTGCTTTAATCCGATTTCAAGTGTCTTTTATTTGAAATTATTTTGTACACTTTTCTGGAAGCAAACAAAAGAAAAAACCAACCAACTATAATTGAGGGTTTCAAAAAAAAATTTTTTTTTTAACGCACGTTTTGTAAAATTAGAAAATACTACTGAATTCAACATTTGAAAGTAGCAATATCACTCCTGTTATTATTTTGCCGAAAATATCATCTGCTATTTGCTCATTTTTATAATTTTTAAGCCTGATCCACCACAACACTCCCTAAAAAAAAAGGAAAAACTGTGGTTTACATCGTTTTCAAATGTCTAGTCTGCTATTACTTTGTAAATTCTTCTGGAAGCAATAAGAAGGACAAACCAAAAAAATCTAGTTCAAGCCTTTTAAAAAAATTGTTTTTTACTTGAACGTTTTACATTGTTTTCAAATGTTTTTAATTTGGAGTTACATTGTAAACTCTTCTGAAAGCAAGCAAAATATAATTGAAGCCTTTCCAGAAAATTATTTTCCACTTGAATTTCACCCCACGTTTTGTAAAATTAGAAAATTTGGACCGAATTTAAGATTTCGAAGAAATAATTTCATTTTAGAGACTCTGGTTATAATTTTGGTAAAAATGTTGGTCATTATTTGGTCATTATTTGGTCATTTTAAAATTTTTCAAGCTTGATCCACCACAACAGTCTACACAAAAAAGTAAAAAGTGCGTTTTACTTTGTTTTCAAGCGTTTTAATTTTCAACTATTTTGTACAACTTTTCTAAAACAAGCAAAAGAACATATCAATAAAATAAATTTGAAAGTTTTCCAGAAAATTATTTATTCACTTAAATTTCGTTGCACGTTTTTTAAAAACAACTACCGATTCAACTTTTGAAAATAGTCATTTTACTTGATTCGGGTTATTATTTTGGCGGCATTAGTCCTCAATATTTGCTCATTTTGATCATTTTTATGTCGATCCACCACAACATTCCCTATAAAAAAGAAAAAAATATGCTTCACGTCGTTTTAAATTTGCAATTACTTTGTTCTGGGAGCAACTAGAAGAACAAACCAATAAAATATAATTCAAACTTTTCGAGAACATTCATTTTCGCTTGAGTTCCAGCACACGATTTTTAAAAATATGAAATTGCAACCGAATTTAACATTTGGAAGAAAAAATGTAATTTTAGAGACGCCGGTTCTTATTTTGGTGAAAAATGTTGCTCATTATTTGGTCATTTTGATATTTTTCAAGCCTGATCCAACACAACACTCCCCACAAAAACTGAAAAATGCGTTTTGAATCGTTTTCAAGTACCCTTTAATTCGAAATTACTTTGTACATTTTTTGGCAACAAGCAAAAGATATAAACCAACAAAATATAATTCAGGCTACTCCAAGAAAATTATTTTTCACTTGAATTTCACCCAAGTTTTATAAAATTAGAAAATGGTAACCAAATTTAAGATTTGGAAGAAATAATTTCACTTTAGAGACCCTGGTTATTATTTTAGTATAGAATATTGCTCATTATTTGGTCATTTTTATATTTTTCAAGCCTGATCCACCACAACACTCCCCACAAAAAGAGAAAAATGTGCTTAATTCGATTTCAAGTGACTTTTATTTGAAATTGTTTTGTAGACTTTTCTGAAAGTAAGCAAGAAAACAAACCAACCAAATATAATGCAAGCTTTTAGGGAAAATAATTTTTTCGCTTGAATCTTAGCGCACGTTTTATAAAACTAGAAAATTACTACCGAATTCAACATTTAAAAGTAGCAATTTCACTCCGGTTATTATTTTGGCCACAATATCATCCATTATTTGCCCATTTTTGTATTTTTTAAGCCTGATCCACCACAACACTCCCTACAAGAAGGAAAAAAAGTGGTTTACATCGTTTTCAAATGTCATTTGTTTGCAATTACTTTGTAAATTTTTCTGGAAGCAATGAGAAGGACAAAGTAACAAAATCTACTTCAAGCCTTTTAGGAAAATAATTTTTTTATTTGAATCAGTGCACGATTTGCAAAATTAGAAATGTACAACCGAATTGAACACTTGGAAGAAATAATGTTATTTTAGAAACTTGGGCTATTATTTTGGTAAAAAATATTGGTCGTTAGTTGTTCATTTTATATTTTGCAAGCCTGATCCATCACAACACTCCCCACAAAAAAGAGAAAAATGTGCTTAATTCGATTGCAAGTGTCTTTTATTTGAAATTGTTTTGTACACTTTTCTGAAAGCAAGCAAAAAAATAAACTAACCAAATATAATTCAAGCTTTTAGAGAAAATTATTTTTTCGCTTGAATTTTAGGGCAGGTTTTGTAAGACTTGAAAATTACTACCGAATTCAACATTTGAAAGTAGCAATTTCACTCTGGTTATTATTTTGGCGAAAATATCATCCATTATTTGCCCATTTTTATAATTTTTAAGCCTGATCCACCACAACACTCCCTACAAAAGGAAAAAAAGAGTGGTTCACATCGTTTTCAAATGTCTTTAGTTAGCAATTATTTTGTAAATTCTTCTGGAAGTAATGAGAAGGACAAACTCCAACAAAATGAACTTCAAGCCTTTTAGGAAAATAATTTTTTTTTTTTTTAATCAGTGCACGATTTGCAAAATTAGAAATCTTCAACCGAATTGAACACTTGGAAGAAACAACGTTATTTTAGAAACTTGGGCTATTATTTTGGCAAAAAATGTTGGTCGTTAGTTGGTCATTTTATATTTTTCAAACCTGATCCATCACAATACTCCCCACAAAAAAGAGAAAAATGTGCTTAATTCGATTGCAAGTGTCTTTTATTTGAAATTGTTTGGTACACTTTTCTGAAAGCAAGCAAAAAAACAAACCAACCGAATATAATTCAAGCTTTTAGAGAAAATTATTTTTTCGCTTGAATCTTAGCGCACGTTTTGTAAAACTAGAAAATCACTACGGAATTCAACATTTGAAAGTACCAATTTCATTCGGGTTATTATTTTGGAGAAAATTTCATCCATTATTTGCCCATTTTTATAATAATATATAATTTTACACCACAACACTCCCTGCAAAAAAGAAAATAAAGTGGTTCACATCGTTTTCAAACGTCTTTAGGTTGCAATTACTTTGTAAATTCTTCGGGAAGCAAGGAGAAGAACAAACCAACAAAATATAATTAAAGCCTTTCGAGAAAATTATTTTTTTACTTGAATCAGTGCACGATTTGCAAAATTAGAAAACTGCAACCGAATTTAACATTTGGAAGAAAAAATGTAATTTTAGAGACTCGGGTTCTTCTTTTGGTAAAAGATATTAGTCATTATTTGTCATTTTTATATTTTTCAAACCTGATCCACCACAACACTCCCCACAAAAAAGTAAAAAGTGCGCTTTACACTTTTTGTGATTCAGACAGGTCTTTCAGTACACTACTTTTACATAAATTTCACATAAGACAATCACATTTTTTTTATACAAAAATTCAACTATATCAAAAAAGTGGTCTAAAATTATTTAAAGAGAACTTTCTTTGCCCAAGAAGTACAATCAAATGAACAATATATATGTTGGTAAATGATTTTAACACAAGAAGATTATTGTCGAGTTTGTGTTGTTTGCTTTTCATACCTGAAGCTGCGCTCTACATTTCCATGTCATCTGTCATAATTTCCTGACGGATACTCTTATAAACTTTTATTAACGTTTTAATTAACTTTTTGTTAAAAAAGTCTCCTACAATTTCACGTTTGCAATTAGAATCTACTCAATCAAAGAATCCTATTTGACGCCCGGAACCTGTCCATTTATTTCTATTTACCCGACAAAGTATAAAATTCATAAATCACGTTTTTGCTAAACGGCGTTAATTCATCGTTTCGCTTCGTGCTGCAGCAATACCCTTTTTCCACATAGTCAAAGTCATCGTGATTTAAAATAAAATTAATTGGGGGGAATATTGTATCCTCCATTGTTAACTTTTTGGTTGTTGTCGACGTTTGTTTGCAAAAAGTTGGTAAACATTGAAATGACAGACACTAATTAATGCAATAAACCTTTTATTAAAAATTTTTAATATGTGTTTTTGTGCAGTCTGGGAGATAGTAGAGACAAGGGACTGCTTTGCGTTGCTATCTCACACAATGGTAACAGTTTTTGCGCTTAATGAATTTTATTTTAGAACGATTTAGGGAAAATATGCAAGCCCAGTGGTCGCGGAGTTAATCATACATTCTCGACTGAAAAGCGTTATTATCTAACACAGAGCTAGAAACGTGACATTTATTATAAGTGTTAATTTAGTAATAGTTACAAATGTGTTTTATTTAATGCTGATTATCAGAGTAATTCTAGTTTTTGGTGTCTTAATGTGTGTATAATAGCTTTAATCTCCATCTGTAGAAGAGCAGTAAATAAAATGTGCTTTTTGCACCCCATAAACTAATATGACGTAAATGGCTGTTTGTTCTGCGTAGCGTCATTTATAGTCAGCCATATAATTTTATGAGGTGCAAAATTTTAGCCGTAATTAACGAATTTTTTCGTCGCTTTTGTAGCTGCCGTAGTTTTGTATATTTTTGTTATATGAACATTTAATTGTTGTACTTTTAATTATAACTTGCTATGTAACATTGTAATTTATCGACCTCTTACTGACTGTATTATTCCTGCCATTTAAATACAACACGCGGAATAGTTAAAATGTTTCAGCCACATGATGACCATGTAGACATTTGCTTAAATTTGCATTATTGTGTTCGAACAAGTTGAGTCAGGAGTCAGATAATTTGAATATTTATTTTCTGCCGAGCGGAATGAATATAAAGTTTTGTTCAAATGAACCCGGACAAGTAACACTAAAATTAATGACGTACTTTTAATTTATGTTGCGAATTTCCATAAGTCAATATTTTTGCTTTTCAAGCCGTTTAACGCGGCCATAAATTTCCAAAGACGCCTTTTTTCATTAAAATAAAAATTTTGCATTTAAAAGTTTTGAATTATTTTGTTGATGGTGTTTGCCAGGAACCAATTTTAAGTCCGTTCTTTTTTACACCATTCATCAATGACGTTCCTGAAGATTTCTTGTTGTTATTTATTACTCTATATTCTTAAATTAAAATCACGATCACGACCTTTCGGTATTAAATTTGTGACCTTTGTGGGAAATTTAGGATCTAAACTCTCACTTACCTAATTAAAAACAGCCCACGCAACAAACCTGGAGATGTTTACAGTTCAAAATTACATTATACGGAGAAAACAATGCTCTGACTGGTACTGGTTTCAAAATTTAATTTAAAATGACAGAAAATTATTTTCATTTTAGTTGAAAATAAAAGCCAAAGCGTTTCGTTGGTGTAATTCTCACATAGTGCATTTTTTTCGTAAATGGTTACACAGTTTCAGACATAATTATTTGCAATTTTATTTCAAACATCACGGAAATCCATTTTATTATGTCTGCTATGAAATTTATCTGCGTTTTGAAAACCAGATCGGGACTAGCATCTGCGTTAAACACACTATTCTTATTTTTAATTCTTTTTAAACTTTTTAAGCTATAGAATTACACACTTTTGTCTATCGTTATGGTATTAGAGTAGGCTGTTGTTATTTCGGTTTATAAGTGTAAAAGCTACGTTAATAATTAATTTCAGGTAAAGTTGTAAGCGCGCAGTCAACTCTAATTCTTTTTTTTTGTATAAAAACGCTAGACGTAATATCTTTCATTGCTGAAACATTTTAATGATCCGCTCCAAACTTTGATTTCCATTTTTATGAACCTTCCCACCCCATCTATAAATCATAAAAAGCTTAGAGCATTATTAAGTGGTAATCGCTGGTAACATCCCAGCGCAAATCTGCGCGTTAAGGCACCGCTCCTTCACTTTGAAAATTCTCTAATGGAAGCCGATTTAGTCAACTTGGCGAGATTAAACAGCACTATAGCAATCAACCGTAATTCTCTTTAGGAAAACTTGGGACCATCATTCACAAGACCGTATTCTCCTTAATGAGTCGAAATTAAAATTAAAATTTAAGCCGCGTGCTAAATAAGAATAATTATAGCAAAACACCGCGGTACGGGCAATTAGTCCGAGATCTAATTTCATTCAAGCCCCATCGTCGAATCTTTGATGTTTCGACTGAAATTAACGATCCCGAAATGAATCCTGCTATTAATTTTTAGTAGACGCTGTTGTGGTTTGTCTGCACGCTGTGTGTCTTTTTCCAAAAGTAAGTTAGTTCACATTGTGGGTGTGCATGCCATGTATAGTCCGTGCGAGCTAACGCGTGCTGGTGGTAGGTAGTGTGCGCAGCGGCCCGACCCAACCTGATAGTATGGGTCCCAAGGTACAGCGTGCCATCAACATGTTAAGACTTCAGCACCTCGATCGACTCTATGGCGACCCGTCTCGTCCCAGGTGAGCAAGTCGCTCCAACTTACTCCACATCCTGTCTATAGTCCGTTGCACTTCTTAATATGCACGAATTATGTGTCGGTAGATTACAAGAAAATACACACTTTCAGCTATATCACTTAGAAAGTAAAGAGTAGGGATTAGTGAACATTAACTTTCTGTTGCCTTGGAATTTTTCGTTGTCAAACAAAAGTCAGTAGGTATTCACTCATTCTTGGTTTCTACTATACTTACGATTTTTCTAGACGAGAAGATCTAATTGTGTAAAACTTGTAGTTTGTGTTAAATAACTTCATCTACATACGTCAAGCGTTCAGAAGCAGTTCTTGGATTCAAAATCCACCACCTGTTGAATTTTTTCGATAATTATTAACAACCAATGGAATTATTTAGAGTGACACCAATGAAGTGAATTCCATAAAAACAAAGAAAGTTGTTTTCACTAGAATGCAATATTAAGTTTATGTGACAGTATTTACAACTTTCACACTTAACGACATCTACAAAAAGTTTAACTTGCAATTTAAAATTTGTGGTGTCGCCATGTATAGAAAAAACACGTTAAGGAAAGTTTTCTTATACCTTTTGAGATTTGAGGGTCGTCCCAAGTCAGTTGGTCCAGCTGCGCAAATTTCAATTCATGTAGTTAATATCGTGTGATTTTTTTAATTTCTGCTCTAGTTGGTCATGCGTACGTCAGTAATGAAATTTAAATAGCTGATGTAAGCGTCATGGCCAACTAGAGCAGAAATTTAATAATCAAATGACGTCTTATTTTTTGTTGTTCGCTTTCACTTAAGAAGTACACTTTTAAGCATATTATTATTTTGTATTTTTTGCATCCTTAAAGTAGTTTTTTCCTAACTGGGCCAACTGACCCAGGACGGGGCTCGCAGTGGCCTACTGAGACTAAGTATCTTTAGGCTACTCATTACATTTACTGACAGATGCTAAAATAAGACAAAATGTTGTTCTAAATTTTATATGAATTCCGCTTTGCCTATGTAGATGAAGTTGGCCAAGTGTTGATTTTGTAAACAGAAATATAAAACGTTTGAACAATTATATCAAAATTGAATATATATTTTTTTTAATTTCCTGAAACTAAAATGTAAAAATAATGCAGCGAGTTTCAGTTGTTGGGGTGACGTTTCATTAGTGCAAAGCACAATTAGATAAATGTAAATGAATTTCGTGGTTTCACACAATTTTAATTTATTTCATTTTAACATTTATAATCAAGGTAAAATCTTAGTCCTTGTAGATCGTCAACTATATTTTCATATTACGCAGCTTAAAATTGGAAGAAAATTTGAGAATTTTATTGTTTATGTTCTTTAACAAAATTTTGTATTTATTTCTTTAGTCGATACAGCGTTTTCACAATTCTGATAAAACGAAAAATACAATTTTGATAAATCTAGATGCTAATAAATATCTTGCACATTTTGACGAGATTTATAAAGCAATATTTTAAAATAACGTCATTAAATTTTTAGAGTAGATCAACAGGTAAAATTTGACTAGAAATTTCTATTTCTACGATAACTTTAAAGTTATTCAAGAAAATTGTCACTAAAGAATTTAACAATATAGATGGCTCGGACAAAATTCCCCGGTCTAATATCTTGAGAACGTATAGAGAGAGAGACACTGAAATTCTATAAATGCAACTGTTTTCAGTTTGAAGGGGGAAACTTATTATTATACATGTGTTTATGAAAAATTATGAAAGTTATTTATTTTTTAATGGATTTTGGTAAATCGTTAAATTATTATTATTACAATGAAATAAAACATTTGTTGTTTATTTCATTTCCAGTCGATAAACAAAATAAAAGCCATAAATATAAAAAATAGAACTTGAATGATATAAGCATAGCTTCGAACTGTCGTTGTTCACAGTTAAACCAAAACTTCTTATTAATTCTTCCAATTAAAAAGGCTCAACATGTGGTTTAATTAATAAATTTAGTCCAATTTTGAGAAGACAAATTCATTCAAATCAAACTAACTTCTACGTGACATTCTTTCGATGTATAAACATATATAAACACTTAAGCTACTGCTGAGGGACAAAGGGTGTTATTTATGCCTCTGGTTTTTAGTTTACGACGGTTATCACAAAATGAAAACCGTAAAGTAAAATTTTATGATTTTTTTAAAGAGCTGGATTTGTCGGATTATACTTATAACCTTCGGCCAATTTTTTATTGATCAAATTAAGAACCTCATTTTTTAGATTTACTTATACAGGGCCACTCAAAAAAATTAATGAATCAGTCAATTTGTAAGTATGGTAAATTGTTAATCAAAATATATCTATTTATTCCTTCCACAAAATTGATGACGTCATCTCGAAATTTTGCCGAATAAATTCTACCCAAAATGTGCAAAATATGATGAGTTTTTATCATTGCATTGATATTTTTGAGATTTGCTTAAACAGGTGGCTCAAAAGAATTAATGAATAAGACAATGTATATTATTGATTAAATTAGAAACTCCATTTTCCCAGAAAATTTTGGGAAAATAATACTGTTACTTATTTTTTTTTTAAACTCAACTCGAATGTTTCATTGTACTTCAGGAGCGAGGGAAGACGTCAAATCTTTTAAGTGTCGCCACAGCAAAAGGGACCTTAAATCTGGGCTGAGAGCTGGCCATGGAATGGGGCCTCTATTTTTTATCCAATTTTCATGACAAATATTTTCTAAAATTAAAATTTTAGAACCATTTTCAACATGCAGCGATGAAATATTGCTGTAGTCCAAAATTTCTGACAGTAGAAGTTAACATTTAGATCATTTAAATTCTTTACAGTTAAAACTAAGAGAACACATATATTGTAGTTGTACATAATTTAAAGATTTATCAAAATCTGTTAAAAAAAAATATACGTTACAATTAAAAAAATTGGCAGCAGTTCCCTCGTCCCTGAAATATACATTTCGCGTTTTTGAAAAATTATAAGATTTTTGTAGAGCTTCTTCATTAGTATCATCCTTTAATCACCTATGCTCCGCCACTGCCTTTGATTCGAGCGCATATGTCACGAAAACACACTCTATTAACTGGGTTATACATATTTGGTCTGGCGCGGAGTGAGGGAAAATCGGGTGAACGCTCAAATAACGTTACAGAATTTTCGCATTCCAACTCCGAGGTCGGAATCGTTGTGTTCATTGCCGTAAATTAAAGCAAAAACAATGGCTTTTACAGAATTTCAAGATCTCTATCCCTCCTCAAGGTATAAAGCCGGTGAATTTTATCTGGGACACCCTGTATATATATTTGGCTAGGTTCAAAATTTCTCGTACATACGATGTTGTCAAAATTAATTTGTCTGAAGAAGGAACGATTTTACTTTCGAAAAAAAGCCAAATAATTATATATTCATTGATAACTGGTTTTAACGAGAACTTTCCACAATAATTGTGATAATAATACTGAGAACAAGAAACTGTTCGATGGCTTTTAAATCGCTTTGTACAAGGTAAAAAATAAGGGCGGATTAATAAACCACAACTATGGAAATATAAGTATTATCTCATAAAATTTAAATACTTCTAGTGTCTACCTAAGTGTGAACACATAATTAATACCTTGCATATCTTATTTTCGATTATTGATCTACAAAAATTTTGAGATAGCTTTAAAATATATACAAAATTTCGTAGCAATCGGTTTAGTAGTTCTGGAAGCTATATGACTAATAAAGTCGCCAAAACACAAACAATAGATGGACATCGATATTTCCATGTTGTATCGCTATGAAACACCTGGAAAACATGAAATTAGCCATTCACCAACTAGACCTTTTTACAATATTTCGCTAATTTACATTGAAGTGGAAAAGTAGGCTTCCGGGTTCCATCTGCTTGTCTCTCTGTCGGTCTGCCTGTCTATGTCGGTTTTTACTGAACAGATAATCTACAAAACTACCGGGTCGATTGTTGTAAAATTTTGTATGTATATTAGAGATATCGTGTAGGAGGTAAAACGTTAACCAAAATTTGGCTAACCATCCCCATCTACAATTTGATGACATCTCCTTATTTTTTTTTAGTAAATGCTATTTAAATTTTATAAAATAACACAAGCTTGTATTTGTCTGTTATGAACTCGCCTTGGCATCCAAATTTTCGGAAAAAATCCAATTTGTAGAATAACATTTTATACTAAGGAAAGGGAACCATCATATTTTTTTCTTATACTGTAACTGGTATTATCTAAATTTTTTTAATTTATAGACTTTATCGAAAAATATATAATTTTTAATACAAACTACTAAATACAGGATCAATTTTGTTTAAAGAATGTAGTTTATAACAAAATCCTCTATGTCTACCCCAAAGTAAATTAAATACGAATTCAAGAGGGTTAAATTTCTTAACCACCTTAATTATACATTTTTAAGCTTCAAATACTTCAGTATTCATGACGAATCCAAGACTTAGGAACTTAGGTGTTCATGAGAAAAGGGTTTTCAATGTTCTAGAAACATGTTTGGATTCTGGCGGTGCACTTCGATTCTGTCTTATCACAATATTTCACTTCCTGAAAGAATATAACGGATTTAGGCTCAAGGCGAATTTACTGAAAAAGATAACAATGTTACGTCTGAAAGAAAGAAAACGTCGCCAATTTTATAATTTTATCGCAAATAAATATCACTGATTTGGTGTACAAAATCTGTTTTGTTGCCTGATTAATTTTCATTATCATGCAGAAGCTTTCGGCTTATTGTCTTCCATTTAGAAAGAAAGATCGTAAATGTGTCTAGAATTTTGACAGTTCCCAACCTTTTTGTGAAAGTTTTTGTGTTTCGGGTTACTATATTTTATAAAACTAAAAATACATATATTAAACTGTGTTATGCTATTCGACGTTGGTTGCCTACATTTCTACATCATGTTGTTTGTAAACATTTAATTTAGGAAAGCTGCTTATTGTAATAAAATTTTAAATCGGATTTTTTGGGTAGACGTGGTTACGTTCTT